TGCCTCAGCCTTCCAAGAACCTGGGACTGCAGGTGCCCACCATAATGCTCAGCTATTTTTTGGTTGCAGTTCAGCCAGGGAGCTGTTTTCATTTTTTCTTGTGTGTATATATATATGTATACCTATATATACATATATATCTTCTGTATATATATTTTTGTAGTGTAGCTTGGTTTTATTTATGTCCACTCCTCTTGTGTGTGTATATATTTTTTTCATTTTTTTTTTTTGAGATGGAGTCTCACTATGTCGCCCTCAGCAGAGTGCTGTGCTGTCACAGCTCACAGCAACCTCAAAATCTTGGACTTAAGTAATTCTCTTGCCCCAGTCCCCTAAGCAGCTGGGACTACAGGTGCTCCCCACAATGCCCAGCTATTTTTTTTTTTTTTTTGGTTGCAGTTGTCATTGTTTAGCAGGCCCCGGGCCAGGTTTGAACCTGCCATCCCTGATGTATGTGACCAGTGCCCTAGCCGCTGAGCTACAGGTGCCAAGCCTCTTGTATATTTTTAATATAATTCTCTTGTCCTGGAAAATCTTACAATTCTATAATTCTGTGTTTTTGTAATTCTAAAATCTGAATATATTTTGTATATTGTTACAGGGTATATAAAAATAATTTGTTTCTTATGTTGATATTGTATCATACAAAATTACTGAATTTCTTTAATAACTTATCTGTAGATTCTCTTGGTTTGTTAACTAAGGCTATAACAACTCCAAATAACTGGAATATTTTTCCTTTTAATGAGACTTACATCTTATTTTTCCTTAATTTTTGGTATTGGATAATACCTCAAGTCCAGGTTGAACAGTGTGGTTGATAGAAGCATTTCTATAGGAAAATTCCTGTCATGTCTTGTCTTGATGCTTCTAAATTTTACTATAAAGTGTGATCTTTAGTGCACATGGTTGGTAGATAATCCTTATCCTACTGAAGCAGTTAATTCTCAGTCCTTATGATCATAAAAAGGTGTTGGATTTTTGTTTTGTTTTGGGTTAAGTTACTACAAAAACTTTATCAAGTTGTATCAAATGTTGAAATTTAATTATTTATATGCATAAAATAGTTACTTGGAACTTTTGAGCCACTAGGATATATACAGAAACTGGCAAGAGAGCAAGTGAGGCCAGGCTTAGGCTTTAAAAAATTGGATGCCTTTCTGAGGCCTTGAAAAGAGAAGGGTAGAAAGAGAAAGATGGCAACTACAGGGTCTTATTAATGTTTTAAATATGAAATTTTAAGAAATAGGTTTCTGTATCCATAAGATGACTTGTAATTTCTTTTTTAATCAGTTCCTGTGGTGATTGTGCTATCAGAATTTCTAACTACTAAGCACCTTTGCATTTCAGCCATTCCATATTATTTTATGAAATTCTAATTTTATCCTTGGTTTCTTATTTTGTTTTGGTTTTTGCTTTTGGTTTTTGTTTGTTTGGTGGGGATTCCAAATAACCATGTACATACATCCTAATTTTATAATGTTGTTATTTTTCCATGTTTGCCTCATATTTTTATAATGAAATAAATTATTACTGATAACATCCTTGAGGGGCTAATTATTTTCTGTCGAACATTATAATTATTATTTAGATTTACCAATATGATTTATTAGTTTCTTTGCTCACCTTCTATCCTTAGATTCCACGGCTTCATTCTATCTTCATGTGTCTTCTTACCAAGGTATACATTTTAAGAATTCTTTCAGCTATGTCCTGGGTGGGAAATCTTAGTTTTGTATGTCTGCAATATTTAATTATACCTCCAAATTTGTAATATTTTAGTTGGCTCTGGGATTCTGAAATAAATACTATGTCTATACTCTCTCACTACTTTAAATATAGATACATATATATATTTTTATTTTTGAGACAGAGTCTCACTACATCACCCTTGGTAGAATGCTATGCCATCACAGCTCACAGCAACCTCAAATTCTTGGGCCTAAGCAATTCTCTTCCCTCAGCCTCCCAAGTAGCTGGGATTACAGGTACCTGCCACAACGCTCGGCTATTGTTCTGTTGCAGTTGTCACTGCTGCTCAGCTGGGCCAGGCTGGGTGCGAACCCACCGGTCTTGGTATATGTGGCTAGTGCCGTAATCACTGTGCTATGGGTGCCAAGCCATATTTCAAATATATTAATATATTATTTTCCATGCTATTTGTTGTTGCAGGTGCAAAGTTTGCCATTTGTATTGTCATTCACTTTTTCAGGATTAGGCTGCTTACATAAGTATTTTTCTTGATTTTGATGTAACATAGTTTCAACCTGATGTGTTTAAGTGGTAGATTTCTGCCAGCTGTAACTCAGTCAGCTTTCTAAATCTGGAAAATCAATTCTTTCTTATAATCTTAAAAAAGAAAAGGAAAGAGTCACTATCTCTTGGACCTTTGAACCCTTTTCCAATCTCCTGGTAGAAAAAAGTGGTGCTACTTCATCAATGCCTTCCCCATGTCTCTTAATATCTGTAATGTATCTTCACACTCTATCACAGCACACTTTCTCTCTTCCAATTAACTGATTCTATCATTGTCCATTTTCAGAATTCTATTTATGTTCTTTATAAGACTGTTCATTTCAAATATTGCCATCTTAATTTTTAAGACTTCTAATTACTTGGTTTTTTTACCTACTTGCTCTTATTTCACAATTTTTGGTCAACATTATATAAACTTTTTGTTTAATGGATTTGTCTCCTCCTAAAAGAATTTAAACATTCATATTTTTAATTTTATATTAATTAGCTCAATAAATTATATTTCCCCAGGAATTAAAATCTCCAATTATTTGGTAACATTTAATAGCATTGATTTCCTCCTGGGTTAAAAAATTTTGTTGTGTAGATGCATTCTGAATGAAAATTCATTTTCAGTCCCATATTTGAACTTTTGCATTTGCCTCTTCATGGTTCTCTAGGATCTAAACCTTAGAGCCAAATATTAAGAAGCTCATATAATTTGCAGCTCAAAAATCAGTCCTCTTCCTATCACACATGGATGACCCAATTTCCAATTTCAAAGCAGTAGTGATGCTGGACTGAACTGTCTATATCTCTATTGGGACTACTGGGTTTATTAGCTGCTGACTCAGCTTAGTGCTCTCCAGGAATCACCCCTGGGCAACTGTGGTAGTGTACTCCATAGACTGTTCAAACAGGGGTATACAAGCACAGCCCACTGGCTTCAAGTGAAGACAACTCTGAAGAAGTTCAATTGCAGGACCATCAGCGAGTTAGCTGACGCCTCTGTTCCAACTGCATCTGGTTCCACTCCTCCACCTGCCCAGTTATATTTTCTGTGTTCTGCCAAACTCCTGAATGCAAATCTTCATCTCAGACTCTTTTCAAACCAGTTTAAGATAACTGGTGCCAGGAGTTGCCCTAGGAAGCAGACACTAAAACGGATTTCAGAGATGAATCATGGAGCATGGATAGTCAAAGGCATCTTAAGATCTTAATCAATGTTTAACTAATTAGGACACTGGTAGAAGGAAATGCACTGCCCCTGACAATATCCCAGGCATTTGAATGCACTGCCCTTGACAATATCCCAGGCATTTGAGAAATGTGGGGCACAAAGTAATTATAAGAAGTAATATTTATAAATAATGTGAAATTGAAGGGCTATGTGATAAGGTATTTGAGAAGGAGAATGAAAGTCAGAGTGTGATATTAACTACTATTAAAATCTAAATATGAGACAGTCTTTTTGACAATATACAAATAGCCTTTCATCTCCTGGAACTAAAGAGGGACAAAAAACAACCAAGGATCTGGCCCAAGATTTGCTGCAGTGGCTCGGCACCTG